AAGTCAAGGGTTAAGATCCCCTTACCGGTCATCTTTAAAAAAAAAAAAAATTGATTATGCATATTTTGGGGATTCAATGTTGACATGTGTTGATCAAATCAATATTACTAGTATGTGTATTGTTACAAATTCTACTTATTCTTTATGCCCCTTGTCCAATCTCTTCCTATCCCCTCTCCCCTCCCACCACTGATAACCCTAGATTTCTTCCCTCCCTCTGAAAGAGTTATGGTTATCCTGTTGATTTATTGCCTAGGTGATCTATCCAATGCTGAAAGGTGTGTTCAGGTCCCCCAATATTATCATAAAGCAGATGCTTCTTCTGTCACCCTGGAATGGGATCTTCAGTCATTGCTACTGCTGTGTGAACACTTACACATGTGTGCATTCTTAATCTCTTAATTATAAACTGCACAGTAATTTTAAGAACAGTATTTGTCTATAATTAATATATGTCAAAGATAAAAAGTTAGCAAGTATAGGAAGAGTTCAGTAATGCGGTTATGGTAACTTTAAGTTGACAGTGTCAACTGTAATGTTTTGAAAGAGGAAAAATTTTTGACAGTAATCTTGTATGTTTTCTCAGATGAATTGCTTGAATTTGTGTGTGGCTTTTATTCATGTGGCACTATAATTGGTATAACAAGACTAAACTTTCAAGACTTCTGTAAGAAGATAGCAGGTTTTGTTGGATGTTAAACAAACCCCAAACCTCTGATACCCTTAAATGACCTAGCTTTTTTGAAAATTTAAGTACACCTATGCTCTCTTACCTAGGGTATACAGGAAATAAATAAGAAAAATTCAAGGGTTATTCTTTTCTGTTGCATTTTATTATACTGTACCTCAAATCATGGACTTTTAATAGTTACTATTTATGCTTAAAAACTTAATAGGACATGGTTATGGGCATTTAAAAAAAATTTTTTTTTTTCCTTTTTGTCTTTTTTACTGACCGGTAACGGGATCACAACCCTCTGTGTCGCGTCCGCACCGGGGACCGGCAACGGGATCACAACCCTCGGTGTTGCCCCCGCACCGCGCTCAGCCAGTGAGCGGGAACCGGTCTCCACATGGGATCCGAACCCTCGGCGGGAGCGCCGCCACGCTCCCAAGCAGTGCACTCTTCAGTGCGCCACCGGGCCGGCCCTAAAAATTTTTTTTATAAAATATTTTTATCTCTTATTTCTATAACATTTATACAATATGAAGAAAATTATTTTATTATTTACCAGGACTTTAAAAAAAGCCATTGTTTCTGGAGTTATAAATTACATTTTAGAGTAACTTTATTTTCTGACTTTCCACAGGAATCTGTGGGTTTGGTCTCCATGTTTCGAGGTCTGGGTCTCGAGACAGTGTCCCAAACCCCTCTAACACGAGAAGTACCTCCTTTAGGTATGTCAAAAACTAATTTGAGAAATTGTGGTCGTATGTATGATTGCTTCGTTCTTAAATCCGTACAGTTTATCTTCAGAAAAATAACTGTACTTTAAAACATGTTCAACTCAGTTACGGCTGGGGTTTGGTTCTTTCATTCAGGTAGAGGCATTTTAGGTCGAGGGTTGTCTGCTAATATGGGGCGCAGGGACAGAGAAGAACCTCGTCCTGCTTTTCCGGATCCTTCAGTATTGGCAGCTGGGGACAGCAAGATGGCAGAGGCCTCTGTTGGTTGGAAGAGGTGGGTAAAGTTTCCTTCTCACGAGCCATTGACTTCAGATGGAATACGTCTATAGGGCCAAAGAGAAACTCTAAGAAGGTTGTGTTATCTCACAAACAAGCAATGCCTGGTTGGAAATTTTCCAAGAGTGGTCAGCAGCTGCTGATCCAGTCAGTCATTGGAAGAGGGTAAAAGTAGTTCTCCCCTGGGTGGTTCAACTTCATTTGTCCTCTTAACAAGTTACCCTGATCGTAGTTCATTAATCTGGGTGAGTCGAGCTTTCCCCACAATTCTGCTGAAGACGGTTCTGAGAGTCAGTATTAATAGCAGTTGGTGAATGAGTCATGTTGGCATATTGGACTTTGAAGGAATCCCAAGGCTGTGCTTGTGTCCCTTTTGCTGTCTCCTCCAACAAGGTAATGTAGACTTGGGGGAATAATCAGGAGGGGGCAGGGCCGGCCCATGGCTCACTTGGGAGAGTGTGGTGCTGATACACCAAGGCCATGGGTTCAGATCCCTATATAGGGATGGCCGGTTAGCTCACTTGGGAAAGTGTGGTCCTGACAACACGAAGTCAAGGGTTAAGATCCCCTTAGTGGCCATCTTTTATTTAAAAAAAAAAAAGATGGGGCATAAATAGAAGCGTGATTAAGAGAGCCCTGATTTGCCTGTCTCTTCAACATTCCAGAATGCTTGGAAGAGGAAGTTCAGAAGCTTCTTTATTACCATTAGGAAGAGCAGCTGGGGGTATAGGCAGAGGAGTGGACAAGCCTCCCAGTGCATCCAGCCTCACTTTCCGGAATCACCCACGGCTGTCATCACCACCTCTGCCCCAGTCCTCTCTCCACTCTCCAGATCATCCTCTGGTCCTGACTGCAGAGCACAAGGAAAAGTAAGTCAGGGGCAGCCTTCTGTGCTTAGTAATGATGGGAGGAGGAAGTGCCTAATGAACCTCTATGTTTTGGCTGGTGTGTGGTATTGTGAACACCGTGTCTAGAGTCCTCCTTGGTGATAGGTACTGCAGGTTGTTTCATTTTGTTTTTGCTGGTGGGAGATTGACAAAGAGGTGGGACAATTCTTGATGAAGTGAAATGGGTTTAACAGTGAATATATAGCACATACCAGAGAGTGGAGTCGTGACCTTTTTTTTCCTTCTTAATTCACACAGACTATTCTTTGTCATGTTGAAAATAAGAAAAAATCATTTAGGAAAAATATTATGGCACTTCATCTTTCTCTTTTGGAACTAAATCTTGTGTTCTTAGCTGGCCTAGTTTATTCCAGTGATGTTATTACTAGAACAGATAGGGTGACCTTGCATCTCTAATTAGACATTGTTAAGAATTTCTTTTCTAGCCTTCAAAGCTTGCTTTTGTATGTCTTGGTTCTTGGTTTGTGTATCTCTAAGCAAAGTGTGAAAAAATACTTACCCCAGTCTTTTTTTTTGGGGGGGGTGTGAGTTGGTTGGTTGCTTTGTTTTTAGTATATGTTGGTGCTTTTGATTTTATTTTTATTTTCCAGAGAGCTTTTGGTGAAGCAGGGATCAAAAGGAACACCTCAATCTTTGGGACTGAACCTCATCAAAATACAGTGTCATAATGAAGCAGTTTATCAATATCATGTGACTTTCAGGTATTCACAGCTTCTCTCTCTGTATCGTTCACTTCTTAGAGGGCAGTAATGAAATAGTTCCCCTGAGATAACTGAATATTTTTCTTTATAATTCTTGATGAATCTCCCATGCAATAATGCATGTACTCAGATCCTTTCAGGAAGTTTAAGGTTAACATTTTATGATTATGTGTGTATTTAGCTATCTTACCAATTCAGATTTTAATTTAGTAGGTGTGGGTTTATGTGTGAGGCTAGAAGTGGATTTAATGTGAAATTAATGAAGCTTAGGTTCAGGCCTTTTACTTGCATTTGCCCTTTCTGTGACCTTTTAACTTATTTTGTATATGTGATTTTGTATTCCTTTTCTTAAAGGTTCCTTCCCCCCAAATGGTGTAAGATACACACCCCACAAAACCTGGATCTTCCCCTGCATGAGTCATTATACCAACATTTGACATCTCCACAGTGACCTAGGGTTTTTTGTTGGCTGGCCAGTATGGGAATCCAAACCCTTGGTGGTATCAACACCATGCTCTCCCAAGTGACCTACTGGCCAACCCCAGTCTAGGATTAAATTTGAGAGTGAGAAAAATCAGAGAAAATTACTCGCATTTTATATCAATAACTTTAGGATTCATCATATTTTTTCTAAAATTAAGAACTCCTATTAGTTTGTGTTCTCTTTTAAGATCTTAGGGGAGTTATTAACAGGAAGTTATTAGCTGGAATTATGAAAATGAGTGTTCTGAAATATCTGTGAAGAAAATGAGAATATGGAAGTTAAATTGTTTTATTTTATTTTATTTATTTATTTTTTTTTTAAAAAAAGATGACCGGTAAGGGGATCTTTTTTTTTTTTTTTCCTTTTTGTCTTTTTTCGTGACTGGTAATGGGATCACAACCCTCAGTGATATTTTATTTTATTTATTTATTTATTTTTTTAAAAAAGATGACCGGTAAGGGGATCTTTTTTTTTTTTTTTCCTTTTTGTCTTTTTTCGTGACTGGTAACGGGATCACAACCCTCAGTGTCGCGCCCGTACCGCGACCGGCAACGGGATCGCAACCCTCGGTGTCGCGCCCGCACTGCGCTCACTGCGGACCAGTCTCTATATGGGATCCAAACCCTCGGTGCGAGCGCCGCACTCTCCCGAGTGCGCCAGCAGGCCGGCCCCCGCTAAGGGGATCTTAACCCTTGACTTGGTGTTGTCAGCACCACGCTCACCCAGTGAGCAAACTGGCCATCCCTATATGGGATCCGAACCCGTGGCCTTGGTGTTATCAGCACCACACTCTCCTGAGTGAGCCACAGGCTGGCCCAGTTAAATTGTTTTGATTGAAAAATAATGACCGTAAAAAATAACAGTTGTGTATTTATGGGATACAGTGTGATGTTTTGATACATGTACACATTGTAGAAAGATTAAATCAAGCTAATTAACATATTCACCACTTCACCTACTTATTATTTTTTGTGGTGAGAACGTTTAAAATTTCTTTTAGCAGGGCCAGCCCGGTGGCGCACTGGAGAGTGCACTGCTTGGGAGTGTGGCGGCGCTCCCGCCGAGGGTTCGGATCTAATGTGGAGACCAGTTCCCGCTCACTGGCTGGGCGTGGTGCGGGCGCAACACCAAGGGTTGCAATCCCGTTGCTGGTCCCCGGTGCGGGCGCGACACCGAGGGTTGCGATCCCGTTACCGGTCAGTAAAAAAAAAAAAATTTCTTTTAGCAATTTTGAAATATACAGTCCATTATTATTAACTGTGGTCACCATATTGTGTAACATCACTAAAACGTACTCCTCCTAACTGAAACTTTGTATGCTTAAGACCAACATTCTTCCCCTACTCCTGTAACCATCATTCTACTTTCTGATCCTGTGCATTCAACTTTTTTAGATTCCACGCATAGGTAAGATCATGAAGTATTTGTCTTTCTGCGCTTAAGACCAACATTCTTCCCCTACTCCTGTAACCATCATTCTACTTTCTGATTCTGTGCATTCAACTTTTTTAGATTCCACGCATAGGTAAGATCATGAAGTATTTGTCTTTCTGTGCTTGGCTTATTTCACTTAACATAATTTCCTCAATGTTCATCCATGATGTTGCAAATGACAGGACTTCCTTCTTTCTAAAGGCTGTACTGTATTCCATTGTGTATGTGCACCATATTTTCTTTGTCCATTCATCCGTGATAAACACTTATTGTCTCCATATCTTGGTGGTTGTGAATAATGCTAAAATGAACATGGGAGTGCAGATATCTCTTCAACATACTGATTTCAATTCCTTTGGATACATACTGAGAAGCGGGATCACTGAATCATATGGTCGTTCTATTTTTAGTTTTTGAGGAACCTCCATACTGTTTTCCAAAATGTCTGTACTAGGAAGTCTGAATTTTTGAAGGACAGCTACCAGTTGGTTGTAGAAGAGGAGGAAGTGGAGTGAAAGAAAGAAGAAAGGAAAAGTTAGGGGAAAAATACCCTCAGGACATGTTATAAACACCAAAGGAAGGATCCATTTGAATAAGGAGGAGGGGTTGACATTGGCCACAGGAAAAAAAGTTATTGTATTTGCTTTTGAGGGCCCCCTTGGTGATCTTCTAATAGCTTTGTTAGAGTTATAGAGAAAAAACTAGGAGATTAAAGGAATAGGAGGAGCATAGACCATGAGAAGTAGCCAATGAATTGGCCACTCATTTAAAAAGTTTGTAAGAGGATTGGGAAATGGAATGATAAAGAGGGTAGGATTGCTTTAGTGGTTTTTATGAGGTAAGAAAGCAGAGCTGAACACACAGGACAGGTGAAGGAAAAGAGAAAAGAGGGTGAAACTGGACTTTAGGAAACAGGATTATTGTGGAACGTAAGAGGAGGAGATGAACATTGAAGAGAGGGAGACTCCTTTCTCTGAAAATGGATTGACAGATGTTAACGAAGCAGAAAGGGGTATAGCAGCCCTAACAGGTCTGTCTCCATCGACTGGCCATGGAGAAGATGTGGGTTAATAGGTTTCTAGATTATTGACATGGATCTTTGGAGCCACAATGTGAAGGTGCTGCCAGGTCATTGAGAGAATCCTGAGCACATAGATGTGTTACAGTAGACTGGCCATCCTTTAGTTTCCTTGTAGTATGTGAAGGGGGTCTAGGAAGACAAACTGAAATATTGTGCTTAGAACTCGTCTCTTAAGTGTGCAGGTATGGATTTTGGAAGGAATGTGATGTTAGCATGTGAATGTTTAGTTTTGGGACAGCTGTATTGTATTACCACTTGATTTTTTTTTTTTTCTTTTATCTTTCTTCATGTGCTTTGAACATCCTTGACCCTTTTTAGCCTTGGATTTGTTTAAACTTTGCAGTTGTAGAACAAGGTTGTTTGTTACTGTGATAGAATAGGACCATCATTGTGTAAAGTAGCTACTGGAGTTTTTCAAAACTGTAAGGCTTTTGACAGTGAATCAATAAAAAGTTGAAATTGCCATAAGTGAAAAATGGTTACAGTAAATTCCTGTTTTTTAAACTTTTTTTTGTTTTAGAGTGTGTATCTCTGAATACTCTAGAGCAGGGCTTGGCAAATGACGGCTGGTCCAAAGGTCAACCCTGTCCACTGCTTGTTTTTGTAGTAAAGTTTTATTGGCACATAGCCATGCTCATTTGTTTACATATTGTCGATGACTGCTTTCATGCTACAGGGCAGCAAAGTCCAAAGTATTTACTATCTGGCCCTTTACATAAAAAATTTTCTGATCCCCTGACCTAAAGTCTGCAAGAATATTCACTGACATGTTAAGGAGGTTGTCCTCCAGTGGCGGTATTATGCGTTGTTTTTATTTTCTTTTGCTTTACCTATATTTTCTAATGTTTCAGCCGTGAGTGGGTATCCTTAAGTCAAAGTTCTGTTTTTAGTCAGATATGTAATTTTTTACTATGACCACTAGGTGGAGCAGCAGTCACAAATGACTGCTTCTCTAACACACCTGTTGCACAGCTGTGATAAAGATGGCTGTTTGAGCGTGGTGCCAGTAATGCCAAAATCAAGGGTTCAGATCCCCTTACCGGCCAGCTGCCAAAAATAAGGGAAAAAAAAGATTGCTGTTTTAAAACCCTCTTTATTAAATTTTCTAGCCCCAATGTGGAGTGCAAAAGCATGAGGTTTGGCATGTTGAAGGACCATCAAGCTGTCACCGGAAACGTCACTGCTTTTGATGGATCTATTCTCTATCTGCCTATCAAGCTTCAACAAGTGAGATACGATAGGAAATGTACTTTCGGATGAAACCTAAGAGTGCTCTGGTGTTTTGAGTGGTGGGAAACCAAAGGACTTGGTAGATTTGTCATTTCTTTTTACTTGTGTATATTTATTTGCTAGGTTCTTGATTTAAAAAGTCAAAGGAAAACTGATGGTGCCACGATCTGCATTAAGATTCAGTTGACAAAGATCCTGGAGCCCTGTTCTGACTTGTGCATTCCCTTCTACAATGTTGTTTTCCGTCGGTAAGAAAACAGCGGAAGTCTTATTTTCCTTTAACTCCAGTCTTGTATTTGCAGTAGTGCTCTTCAAGAAGCTTGGATGGTATTACCCTACAGGGTATACATAGATGGGTTTGGGAGCATTTAATAATAAATGGATTATATTGAGGCTAACTTACTCAAAAATTATCTCACAAGTGATGGGCCAGATTTGGGTATATGAAATTAGGTTTGGAGGTAGCTAGCTAGGAGAATAGGTTCCTTTGGATTCATTCAGGAACTTTAAAAACAGATATTTATAGTATATATTTAGTGGTGTTGTTAGTGAGGGGGCTACTTAAAGAGGTACTGTGCAAAAATAGTTACTGGAAGGATTTTTTCAGTCCCTTGAATTTTTGGATCACAGATAGCTCAAAATTATTTAACTTCTTTTGAGACTTCCTAATTTTCATACACTGTTATTCCTAAACTACAAGAGTACTTCAAAAAGTTCATGGAAAGATTTGTATTATGTTTTAATTCTATTTTTCCGTAAACTTTTTGAAGTACCATCGTACCTCTTTTCTTTTTTTTTTCCTTTTTGTCTTTTTTACTGACCGGTAACGGGATCGCAACCCTCGGTGTCGCGCCCGTACCGGGGACCGGCAACGGGATCACAACCCTTGGTGTTGCGCCCGCACCGCGCTCAGCCAGTGAGTGGGAACCGGTCTCCACATGGGATCCGAACCCTCGGCGGGAGCGCCGCCGCACTCCCAAGCGGCGCACTCTCCAGTGTGCCACCGGGCCAGCCCGATACCTCTTACTTAATGAAACACAGAACCTAATTTCTACCTAGTTAACTGAACTGCCAAGAACAAAAATAGCTCTCTTTGCCAGACTGTTACTCACAAACTTAGAAAGTGGCTGTCTTATGTTCTTTTTAGTAAATGGTGAAAATTGAGCCTGGGAAATCAACTTGATGTTTGGTTAGTGAGTAAGTAGGAAAGATTTCAGTCAGTTGTGCATAATCAAAGATAAATGCTTTGGTAATTTTTCTTTTTCTTTTAGAAAGATTGGGGCCGGCCCGGTGGTGCACTGGATAGTGCGCTGCTTGGGAAGCGCGGCGGCGCTCCTGCCCGAGGGTTCGGATCCCACATACAGACCGGCTCCTGCTCACTGGCTGAGCGAGGCGCGGGAGCAGCGCCGAGGTTTGCAATCCCGTTGCCGGTCCCCGGTCCGGTGCGGGGGCAACACTGAGGGTTGCGATCCGTTGCCGGACACGGAAAAAAGACAAAAGACAAAAAAAAAAAGAAAGATTGTTCTCAACATAAAAGCTATATTGTGTTAACAGTATGAATATTTCTGACCCTTTAGACTTGCAAAGGAAAATAGAGCTCAGAGTAGTGGAGCTCAATTTTATTATTCTTCTATTAGAAAACCCATTCTTGCTCTTTATTTTAGGGTAATGAAACTTTTAGATATGAAGGTTGTGGGGAGAAACTTCTATGACCCTACAAGTGCTATCATACTACAGCAACACAGGTTAGTGGTTTTTTTCCCCCTCCCTCACTTTTGAATGTTCTGGAAAAACATTTTTCATTACGACCATTATATTTAAGACAAACATCTGAGCAATATTTTATAGCACTGAATACAATTTATCAGTTAAATCTCTTCCTTAATTTGGTTATTTAGTAAATTTGCAGTTTAATTTAATTTGATTTAATTTAATTTGTTTCCTGGAGCTTTCTCACTGTTATTATGGAAGGGCAGTATCAGCTCAAAGTATTTTATCAAAAGAGGCATGGAAGTATCTGTATTTCTTTTAGAACCCTGGGGTAAATATCAGATCTTTCTCCCGATTGCAGATCTGGCCAGGCTATGCAGCTAGCATCCGGAGGACAGATGGAGGGCTCTTCCTGCTAGCTGATGTCTCCCATAAAGTCATTCGGAACGATTCTGTGCTGGATGTCATGTGAGTGAATGATGGGATCTACCTTTAATATGCTAACGATTTTCTGGAAAGTTTAGTAGTAGCTGGTAATAATACAGACGACATTGTTCTGCTTGGCTTTTTAATTGTAGAAAAGCTGAGGAGAACTGAATGGATGTGCTCTTTTCCCTAATTCCTACAGAGTTAGGCATCTGAATAGACATCTGCTGTGCTTTGAGGAGGAACTTTATTTATTTATTTATTTGTATTTGTATTTTTAATTGGTTATGAATATTCATGGGGTACAAAGCAAATTGTCACCACTTGTGCCTAAGATGTGATGGCCAGATCCATACTGGCAGCATTACCATAAATTGTGATTATATCCCGTGTCCTCCACCCAATTAGCCCCCCAGTTATCCCCAGGAGGAATTTTATTTAAATCTATTGTTAAGAAGATTTGATTTGATAGATACACATCCTGAGTTTTTGTTTAATAACATACAATGTATGTGTTACTGTAGTAAATATAGATATTTTTATTGGTAGCATGAAATCTCGTCTTATATGTAAGTCTGCGTGCATCTCTGATTTTTTTAGGCTATATACTTAGAAGTGGAATTAGTTAATGGAAGGGCTGAAGATTTTAAAGGCTTTTAATTTATAATATAACATTTAAATATGAATAGACAGATTACCCTCTAGAAGATTTATTCAGTTTATTTTCCCTACCAGCTTTGGACAACCACTGTGCTCCCAGGCTTAGAAATCTTTGCTTCTCTGATACATTCACTCATTGTTTTAGTATGTAGTTCCTGAACTCGAGTTATGTCCCGGAGTCTTGGGATATATCAACTAACAAAACAAGATTTCTTCCCTCATGGAGCTTAGCTTGTAGTCAGGTGAGATAACCAATAAACAATAAACATAGTAAATAAATTGTACAGTGTATTAGAAGTGAAAAGAGTGAGCACAGGGTAGGGGAGATCAGGAGTACTGGGCTGGGGCTGGGGTGGGGAGTTGCATTTTTTTTTTTTTTTCCTTTTTGTCTTTTTTCATGTCCGGCAACGGATCGCAACCCTCAGTGTCGCACCCGTACTGGACCGGGACCGGCAACGGGATCGCAACCCTCGGCGCTGCGTCCGCACCTCGCTCAGCCAGTGAGCTTTTTCCCGCCCCTCACTCAGCCAGTGAGCT